TGAAATATGAAATGTGCTGTGATTGGTTAGCTGGGCCAGTGTGTGCTGTGATTGGTTAGCCGGGCCAGTGTGTGTTGTGATTAGCACCACTCGGCGCCTGGTCAGGAAATGGCACGCCCCTTACAGTAGCCGCCTGCGAGCTTCAGTGTAAATATTGCGTCAATATCAAATAATTTGAGCGCGATTTAAACCCGGATGATTGTAACCACTCTAAGTTCGTCTGCCTTGGGAAAGCTAGCGTGTCTCCAACATAGTGATAACACTCGTTGCCTTCTCTAGTGCAGCTCAAGCAGGTCTCTTCCCATTCGTCGATATTTGTGATATCACAAATCCCGGAAATTATGCATTGTAGTCCAAACGATTCGTTCGTTGTAGTTTTTGAAAAGTGATTTCTGTTAAATAAAATATCTCCTTTTGAATTGGACTTTGAGCTGTGTAACTTTGCAGATCTTTTTTTATGCTCAAACAGCAACATTACAGTCTAACTAAAGTTGAAAAAGTGAAAAAGCATAATGGGACCCCTTTAATAAAAACTATAATGGGGTATATATTATAGAGCCCGACCGATATTAGGGAATAAAAAAGGGCCGATACCGATATATCGGCCGATATTCTTTGTGTATATTATAGTACAGTAACACACGTGGTTTGAATATTTATTTTACCATAGTAAAATTTAAATTCTGGTTTAAGTAATTTTTTTATCTCAGTTTTTACTATTCATTTAAAATGAGACAAATCTGCTATTATTTTAATCTCCAATCTGTTATTTATCAGTTCAGATAGTTTTTTTTAATGCTTTGATTACTAGCAGAAGACACTAACCAGTTTTAAATTCCAGTTGCGCAGATGGGGCACGTTGTAACACTGCGTTACAATGTGCTATTCTATGACATTAGAATAGCTCCGCGCGTCGGTAGCCCCCCGGGATCGCTAGATCGGGTGACGCCGGACCATGAATTTAACCACCTGTAACTCCCGAACCCTGGGGGCGGTCTCATTCGAAAGAGGGCCTCGAGACGTACACTCGATTCGCGTTCGAGAGGGTTCCTCGAGCTGAAGGGATCCCCCGAATTTGGTGCGGATTAGGCGCGCCGTTATGTAGATATGGCCGTTCAAAGTTTCAATGGTTTTCCATAGACTTAAGCTTTAAAGCGTTTCATCCAGGTGGCCAGTAGCAAACAATGGAGTTAAGTAATTACACCATTTCAAGCATTTTATCTGCATTATATGTTCTGTAAAAAAAAATAAAAAATCATATCGGTGGCATATTCAGGCTCATATCGGCCGATAATATTGGCAAAAAGATATCGGCTCTAGTGTATATAATACTGAAGTAACACTAGTGCACTGCCCCCTTTTCTCTGTTTTAATGGCTTCAGTTTCATTTAGTCCACAGTATTTTTATAGTTTTATGTGGTCATTTCTTATTTTCTCCTGCAGATAAAGGAGGGAGAGGGATTGTCGGCGCGAGGACGGGGACACCAGCTGGGACCTGGTCCACACAGCATTGCCAGTACAACAGAAAGAGTTCGAAAATCACACACAAAGAGAGAAGTTATTGGGGTCATAACTGCTTCTGGCAACTGTATTATCAACAAGTTAGTCTCTTTTTTTGGTCTGTTTGTCTATTTTGTTTGTTTCTTGTAGTCGATCGACTTTAGACATCAGTATCAAAGCTCTGCATTTTTTGCAATCCAACAGGTATTACTCAATTTAGGCGGGCTTGATTTATTTTTTTTTGTTTTTATTTGTTTTCATCGGCTGTGAACAAGAGAGCTCTTACCGTGTCTGATCTTTTGTATTTCTGCTCTCCTGCACACACGCCCTGAGTAAGGCAGCTATAACCCTACTCTCTCTTAAGTTGGCTACTTTGAAACACATACACACACACATACCTTTCAGCCCTCTCACCCAGACCTGGTCCAGCCTAGTCTTGCCTGCGCCACTCCCCTGGACAGGGTAAGAATAACATATGAATGGCTGTGTTTGCATATATTGATATGTATGTCAATCGTGTGTGCATTACGCTGCAATGTAATAAAAGAATCTGTGTGTACTAGTGAACAGAAGTAAGCATATTTCAGAGCGTTGCATACTCATATTCAGGTATTTTTGTTTGTAGACTTTCACCTCTGAGAAGGAAGGAAGAATATGACTGCTGAAACACTTAACTTTGGCCCAGAATGGTAAAATCCTTTCTTTTCTGTGTCTCCTTCACTTGTTGCCAGATCTCCCTTTCTGTTCTTTCTTCTGATTTTCTTGTACATTTCTTTTTCACTGCTGTCTTTTGAGTGATTTTCTTTAGTCCATTTTTTATCACTGTTGGAGAAATTAAATGCAAGCACTAATGTTATTATCTCACTACCTTTTCTGGTAATAAGCTACTTTAGGCTAAGTGACAAAAGGCTATGTTGTTATTTTGTGCCATGTTGTATTGCATGTGCAGCTCTGAGGCGATAATCAAGCACTCTCATAGAATGTCTTCCACCTCACACACTAGCGTTCAAAAGTTTGGTCGTTTTCTTTTTTTATTTTATTTTTATTTTTTTTGAAAGAAATACTTTTATTCAGCAAGGATGCATTAAATTGATCAGAAGTGGAAGTTTTAACATTTGTAATGTAAAAACGTTTTGTATTTCAAATAAATGATGTTCTTTAACTTTTTCAAAGAATTTTGAAAAAAAAAGTATGACGGTTTCCTCAAGAACATAAAAAAAAAAGTAATAATTCTTACCGAGCCCAAAGCTTTTAACGGTAGTCTATGCTGTACCAGAAAACCTGAACTAGTTATGTTTTTTTTTTATTTGGTTAATCACTGCTGTTCATCACTGTTTTCCACACTGTTGCATAATGCTTTTTAATGTTATTTTTGTTGTATTTTAATTTATGTAAATTCATGCTGCATGTATAGTGCATCTTGTGTTCAGTGAAAGCAAGAACATCTGGCCATTGTACATCCTTATATTTCTTACAAAATCCTAAAATCTTGTATCAAGGTTTAAATTAGATATTGAATCCCAGTTTTTCAATGTGGACTTTTGAATGGCACTGAAAATGTACATCGAGAAAGATGCACATGCAATACAATGTGACAAAAAAAAAAAATTCAGAATAGCCTTTGTCACATATTCCAAAGCAGTTTGAATGTATATAATTTATTGTTATATTTAAAAAAAAAAAATTGAAAATGTACATCGAGAAAGATGCACATGCAATACAATGTGACAAAAAAAAATTTCAGAATAGCCTTTGTCACATATTCCAAAGCAGTTTGAATGTATATAATTTATTGTTATATTTAAAAAAAAATATTTCCTTCAATGCAATGAGCTTCAAAACTGTATCTTACCATGCTATGAGCTACTCAATTTAAAGTATTTTCCTCAGCACTGCTCTTTGCTTTCCCCATGTTTTTGCAAGGTTCTCTCTCTTGTCATTCCCTTCTTTCCAACCCCCTTCTCTCCCTGTATCTCCTCTTGGCACATACTAAATGATTATGCAGAAATTAAACCGTTAGGCGTGGTCCTGTGCTGAACTGAGGCTCTTCTGTGCATAGTTGATCCTCGGCCAACAAAGGAGAATTCCTGGGTTTGACATGTACAATGCAGGGGTGGTATGCTTCCTCAAAGCCTTCTTCATCAGCTTATCTCAGAGGGGTTGTATTTATGTAAAGTTTACAAAGCCATCCACAGCTCTGAAACCCCTTTCTACCTACAAGGTGCCTCAGCTTGTGCCGTTTCACATGTTTCCACTGCTGAAAAGTGGTTTCAGTCAGGAAAAACAACTTTGCACTGGCCCTTAAAAGCTGCTGGACTCGAATCAGGAACTGCTAACATCAAATGCTGGGGGCGAGATCCAAGTAAAGTTGTCAGAACAACAAAAACTCTGGCGATTCTGACACACAATAAAACCAGATTGCTTCCATTTTAATCAGCAGAGATATTTACACTGTAAGCACAGTTCTTATATAAAGTATCTGACACAGCAACTCCAGCCCCTTGATTTTCCTGTTTGTCTAAAATTAAATATTATATAAGTATTACACTGCTGTTTAAAACTTTGGGGTCGGTAAGATTTGTTTTTCTTTTTGAATGAGTTGTTCTATTTAAAAAAACATTTAAAGATCCGTTTTCTATTTGAATGTATTTTAAAATGTAATTTATTCCTGTGATGGCATTACATCATATGCTGATGTGCTGCTGCTAAATATTTAAGTTCAAAAGAGCATTTATTTGAAATAGTTTGTAACATTCTAAAGGTCTTTGCTGTTACTTTTGATCAATTACTGCATCTTTTTTTATTTTACTGTCCCAATTTTTTCGAAAGGTAGTGTAGTTGTAAATTGTTTGATATGGATATATTGGGCATAACTTCTAGCTTTTTTTAAGGGTGTTTCCCCTGCCCAAGCATCAGTACAAGCTTCAGCATCATTTCCTTGGAAAAGGGGTGTGAGAGATCCTAAATAAAGCAGGATGGTAGTGTAGACATTGACAGGGCCATCTTTGGATGGTAGACAGGATTGGAGCATTTCTCAATGAAGCTTCCACATTGTTGCTGCTGAATCTCTTTTGATCTGATTTTTATCTCTCTCTTAGGCTCCGTGCACTTTCCAGTGGAGGCAGTGTGTCTTCCCCTCCTGCCTCTCCTGCTATGCCAAAGTACAAGTTGGCCGAATACCGTTATGGCCGGGAGGAGATGCTAGCACTTTATGTCCAGGAAAACAAGGTGGGAAAATGCCTAAAAACAATCCTGGGTTGTGTTGGCCTATTTTTAAGTCTAGGTGATATCCCAGCATTCAGTTTGCAATGATTGTACCTACATCTTTACCTCTTGACATTAGAGGGATTGTTTATTGTTTAGACACACACAAAACGTTTTTTTTTTTAGCCAGATGATCTGCCAATAATTGGGCATTTTCAGAATATTGGCATCAGTTGTTCATGTCTGCTTGGGTGATTTCGATTTGCTGACAGCGGTGTTAGATAATAATTAAATAATTCCTATAAATCAAGTTTTTATTAGAAGAATTTGTCTTCATCTCAATTGCTGGTGGTAAATGATGTTATACATTGGCTGTCGGTTGCCCTGGTCTTTAGATATTGGTATCTACATCAGCCATTGGGAAAACCTGTATTGGTCAGTCAGTTTAAAAAAAAAAGCCTATGTAATAACCCTTATGTTGCTCAAAACAAGTTTTTGTTCTGTGGAACGCCATACTGATTTATCATTTGTCTTTGTGCATTTTTCCAAACAATGGAAGTGGTAATGATACAAGTATAAAAGTAAAGTTGTTTCTGTCTTTAATGACTTAAAGATTTTAAGGTCAGTTTTTGATACAAAGCTTCAAATGTAACTCACAAAAATGTATGGGCTACTTTTATGATAACTTGGTGTTTTGTTGCTTTTTTGGCGCTCTACAGACCCTAATCTCTGTACACATCCATTAAATGGAAAAGGGCAGCCTGGACATTTTGCTAAATAATGAAAAACATTTTTTTTGATAATTCCAAAGAACATGAGTATTTTGAGTGACAGTAGGTTTTGAGTTGATCTCTTTAATTTTGTAAATATAATTTGCTTTATATGTTATTAGATACTCAGTTCATCTTTCTGTGATGTTAGTAGAATACAAACATTGTGTTTGTAAATGTCACTCTATAAGTGTTTCATGTGCACAGTGATTGCTGAGGGACCTTTTGCAGGTCCCTAAATGGACGTCTTTTGTGGCGTTCACATGGCCTGAGATTTAACACACAATGTGTGTCTAGTACATGTTTCCACTGGTCGACTTTAAAATGCAAAAAATTTCTTACCAGTACTGACACAAGTCATAAAGGTTTCCATGGGCAACAGCTGCGCCAGAGCTCTGTTGCAACAAAAGTAGACTGTAGAAACTGTGCCTTAAGATAATGATTTACCATGTTTTTTTTATTGCGGAAGAAATATTCAGTATGCACTAATCAAGCATGGATATTTGTTGTAATTACACTTTTAGTGTGTTTGAAAAGTGTTTTCAGGAAATCCAAGCACTCAGAATCCCCGCATAGGACTGGTATTGTGGAAAAATACAAATCTAAAACTGCTTTGAAAAGGGAACCTGAAATGTTTAGATTTTTCTCTATTTTGCCAGGTTGATTTGATTATGTCTAAAGGTTGGCCAGTTAGCGTCTGTTGTAGGAAGCCACATCAGCATTGCGCAAACTTAACCCTTGAATAGTCACAGTTCCTTATAGGGCAGAAACAACAACAAACCCAAAGGGTGATATCCACTTCAAAGTGAGCATTACTACTAACCATTTGACCATTTTATGTATGCTACTGTTAAAAAGTTTGGGGGCAGTATGTTTTTTGGGTACAAAAAATATTTGAAATAAATGCTGTCCGTTTGAACTTTCTATTCATCAAAGAATCCTTTAAAATATATCACTGTTTTCACAAAAATATTAAGCAGCACAACTGTTGGTAGTAATAAAAATGTTTCTTGAGCAGCATATTAGAGTGATTTCTGAAGGATCATGTCACTGGAGACTGGAGTAATGGCTGCTGAAAATTCAGCTCTACCATCATAAGATTGAATAAATTAAATTTTAAAATGCATTCAAATAGAAAACAGTTCTTTTATATTGTAATATTTCCTTTGAAACGAAAGGAAGGGACATTGGTGAAGGGATTCAGTTGCTCAGTTTGTGTAGCAATCTCTTTGATGCTGTGCCCTTATAAGGGCGCAAAAATGCCTTTTGAATTTACCCAAAATGTGCTGTACGAAATATTTGAGAAGACTGTTAATGGGTTAAACCTGACTCAGATCAGCACAGTCCAGACTTTTTGTATATTTAAAATGTTTCTCTTTCCGGATGTAAATTTCCTGATATTTTGAGTCCCTCATTTGCCACAGTAGAGTGAGTCATAGTCTTGTGTGTGTTTTCAGGTCCCTGAAGAAATGCAGGATAAGGAGTTTGCTGCTATTCTGCAGGATGAGCCTCAACAGCCACTGGCACTGTTGCCTCTCACTGAAGAGGAGCAGGTGAGAGGCGCACACTTACACGTCTGGCATTTTGAGCTTGTGGCTGATTAGACATGCATCACACACATTATCCTGTGAAAGTAAACTGAGGTGGGGCGAGCACATTTTTCACTCTTATACATAAGACGCCGTCGGCACTACAATGATTTTATCGGATTTAGATTTTGCGGTTTTTGGTGTAGTCGTGGTTTCATTCCTCATGTGTTTTCTCTCTTTGCAGAGGAACTTCTCCATGTCTGTCAACAGTGTGGCTGTGCTGAGGCTTATGGGTAAGGGGGGTGGGGCCGTCCCGGCTGGAGTGAACCGAGGTAGAGGCAGCGTGAGAGGCGGTCGAGGCAAGTTGGTCTATTTGTGTACATGCGTGTAAATTATTAATGTATTGGTGGAGATGCTGAAGTTTGTCACGCTGTGTGTTTAGGTCGAGGAAGAGGAGGAGAGATCGGATTCTACCAAAGAAGCAGTGAGGAAGGAGAGGGCGGTTTTGGTCGTGGTGTTCGAGAGATCCATCGCAGTCAGAGCTGGGATGACAGGTATTATCAATCGTTTTATTTTATTTTACTTTAGTGTAAATTGTGTATTTACGTTCCCTCTAGTTGTTTATTTTAAGTCATTTTAAAAAAGCAATTCTTTTAATTTTATTTTTTGTGGTATGATATTATCCTATTATGATCTCAGTTTGTTGCATTTGCTCTTGTCGCAATAAATATAAAAATCCTCTCATCAGCATACAATCTAGCTTTAGATAGCTGTTGAGGCAAATCAAAAGCATCTTAATAAGCCTCTGTCTCTTTTCATTCTGCAGAAGTGAGAGACGTTTTGAGAAACCTCCGCGGAGAGAAGGTGTGCGCCTTGGTTTCGAGGAGGGGGGTCCGGGTGGCAGAAAGGAGTTCATGCGCTCTGATAGTGACAACTGGCGCATGCTGAGAGAGGAACAGGAGGAGGAGGAGGAGGACACAGGAGAGACTGGTGGCAGCTGGAGACTCACCGGTTCACGAAGAGATGGTAGCACAGTACACGCTTACACTTGGCATTTAAAAGGAATAGTTCAGCCAAATATGAAAATAATTTATTTCATTTCATTTTATTACACCACTAGTTAGTATTAAATGTAAACAAAACTCTGTTTTGGCTGAACACTTTTTAGTGAATTACTTCAGGTGTACCATGAGTAAATGGAGCTTGAGGTTTGTTTAGTTACACTACGGTTCAAAAGTGTATATATATATATATATATATATTTTATTTTTTTATTTTTTTATTCATCAAGAATGCAATAAATTCATCAAGTGACAGAAAATACATTTATAATGATAGAAAAGATTTTTATTTTGATTAAATGCTGTTCTTTTGAACTTGGGTTCAAAAACTTTGAATGGTAAGGTATAAACTTGTGTTGCTTCTTCCTAGATGGTGGTCCTCGCCCAGCTGGTTGGCGGGAACACTCTGGTCCAGGTGAAGTTCGCCGCAGGAAGTTTGACTTCGACTTCCGGGATGGAGGGAATGAGGGAGGCAGAAGGAGAGCAGGCAGCGAAGGAGCAGAGGATGAGAGAGATGGTCTGCCAGAGTGGTGCACAGATGAGGAAGATGGAGAAATGGGAACCTTTGATTCTTCTGGAGCGTTTATGTCTATTAAGGTGAGACCATAAGATCTAGTCTCTAATGACTTCTTATCTATGGTTTTCTTTTCTTTACATTTTTCCCCCTCTTCTATTATCTTAGAAGGGCCCGACAGACCCCATTCCAGAAGAGGAGTTTGAGTTCCAGGGTTTGGAGGATGAGGAAGAGGACGGTGCTTATCAAGAGAAGAAAAACGGCTCTGGTGCTGAAAAAAGTGAGAAAGGTGGGAACAAAACTTGAAAAAATTTAATTCTTAAATCACAGTTCTTGCGAAAATGTATATGATTGCTTAATGTGAGGAACAGACTGAATAATTTTTTTGTACACAAATACATTTTAAACATTGCTGTGAAGTTGTCTGAGTTTTTCAGAAATCGTGCATTTAATTGAAATATGATTTTAAATAAATTTATTTGTAAGGATATCTGTGTTCCATTGATTTCATCACTCTCTCTCTTCTCTTTCTACAGATGTCACTGACTCTGCTCCAGTGTCTGAAACTGAAGTGAAACCAGTTTCTCCTTCCCCTTCTCCTCCTCTCCCTCCAACTCTTCCTGCTCCTGTCGCTGAGGCTGTGCCCTCTGCTGCCCCCTCTGGCCTGGAGGAGCCTCAGCCGGCTCCCTCCATTCCCAACAAACTACCAAGTGAAGGTAAAAAGAAAAAATTGCATTATTTTTTTTCCTATAGCTGTATAGATGGATGATGCTTCAATTGTGTATTGTCTTTTTTTTTTTGTAGTGTTATCAGAGGCCATGTTAGATTTGAGCCCCAGTGCCTCCTCCAGTCTGCCTTCATCACCTCCCTCTTTGTCCTCTGCTGCTACTGACCTCCCACCACCGGGGGGTGATATTGAGGATGATGAGGGCATGAAGCACCTGCAACAGGTACCACAAAAAACGAGTTCTGAGAGTAACAGATAATATAATATCTCACTGAATATCACCTGTATATTAATATTAACATTGATTGAATTGATTATATTATTAAATGCTCAGTATTCACCAACTTGTTGAGGTTATTGTTAAAAGGGGTCATATGACATATGACATTATTTGGTTAATGCAATGTGTTTATGCGGTTTAAGGTTAAAAAAACACATTCTTTTCCACATACTGTACATTATTGTTGCTCCTCTATTCCCCGCCTTTCTGAAACGCGTCGATTTTTACAAAGCTCATCGTTCTGAAAAGCAAGGTGTGCTCTGATTGGCCAGCTATCCAGTGCATTGTGATTGGCTGAATACCTCAAGCGTGCGACGGAAATGTTACGCCCCTTACCATACTGTGATGCTGTGTCCCGGTGCGACGAGACAAAACCAATAAAACCCATTATAAACGAGGCATTTGTTGCATCCAGTGGGGACATAATTACTGATTATAATGACTTGTACTGTATTTTTACGCGTTGCGTTGCGTTGCATATTGCGCCGTGTAAACATAAAACCATACTGTGATCGGAGAAACGACAAACAACAAGCGCTACTCTACACTGCTCAAAACTCTAAACTGCACCAGACTGTCCTTGCAAAGTTTGAACTGCCACACTTTATAGAAACAGCCTTTGTGTGTAGACGGCATTGTAGGCTACTTTCCCAAGTTCAGGAAACAGTCCTCCGTAAAATGCACTGCACACATCTGAATATTTGGGTTGAACTGTTCTGGAACAGTGTTGTAAATACAACTTAACCACTGATGTCTAGTTGTGTCCTCTTTTGTAACTCTTTTGAAAGTAGTTCCGCTTTCATAACGAAACACACAGCGTCTCCACGACATGGCGGCGGCGGCAACAATACTACAGTGAGAATCAAAGTTACGCCTTCTTTCTTTGCGTGAACATTTGGGCGGTGTTATGCAAATCTTCCCACACAGTGAAGTAGACATGTGGGGGCGTGTTTAAACAAGGCGTTTTAGGAGGGTGTGGACGAGTCTTAACTTTTATAAAGAATATCTCTTTGGGTTTGTGACTTTATTCTTTGCAACTTTAGGGATCTTATCTATTCACAAACAGCTTGTAACATTCCAAAGAGAAAGGGAAACTTGAAATCGCATCATGTGACCCCTTTAACCATTTCACATTTGTGAGGGTTAGCTAATCACTAGAAGGTTATTTACATACAGAGGTCTTAAATGTACAATAGTAAAAACCATCTGCTTAATTCTTAAGAGAGAGGGTAGGAAAATGATCCTATAAAATTAAACAATTTATATTTTTTATTATAATTTATTTATAGTCAATTGTTTTTTTTTACTAAAAACCTGGGTTAACATAACACTAGACAAAATGATGACTAAATTGACTAAATTATAGTTTATAATTTATTATGATTTATTTATAATATTTTTTTGTGCTAGAAACCTGGATTAACATTATAAATAGACTAAATTGACTAAATCTAAACTGACTAATTTTATATTTCTTATTATAATAATTTATTCATAGTGTTTTTGTTTCAGAAACAAAATTCTCAAGACTAAATTAAAACAAAATTAGGACAAAATTATTATTTATACTTTTTGATTATAATTATTTTAGCGGAAAATAGTTTTTGATGGTGATTTATGTGTGTAGGAGGCAGAGAAGATGGTGGCAGCGCTCCAGGACACATCTCTAGAGGAAGAGTGTTTCACCCAGACTCTTCAGGATAGCAGAAACACAGCCTCTGCTCTTCCTCTCTCCCATGACTCTGCCATGAAATGGTTTTACAAAGACCCGCAAGGAGAGATTCAGGGTACGCATGCATTCTCTCAGAGGAGGTCAACTCATGCATATGGAGCAGTGTTTTGAGTATAGTCCATTAATATCGTCTCTTTTTCTTGTCTTTTGTCTGTTCTGTCTCTCTCAGGTCCTTTCACTACAGTGGAGATGTGTGAATGGTTTCAGGCGGGGTATTTCGCCATGAACCTGCTTGTTAAACGTGGTTGTGATGAGGGATTTCAGCCACTGGGGGAAGTCATTAAGATGTGGGGGCGTGTGCCTTTCGCCCCTGGCCCCTCCCCTCCGCCCCTCCTGGTGAGGAATCAAGCCCACCTTCGCCCTCACCCACCCCAGGGGGCAATCGTGAGTCTCAGGGTGGAAGAGTGAATGTTTGGGCATTATTTTCCATGGGGTTATTTGCATTCTGGGGAGTTTTTCTCGTCCATTAGTTTTTATTTTAATTCAGATGGGAATAAGCTTGTTTGTAAATTTGTGTGTGTGTGTATCTCTACGTGTGTTTGTCTAAATTTGCATATGCGTTCATTTGGAATGCGTGCAGGGTGGCTTAAAGTATTATAGTATTCAAATCTCACTTTTCAAAATGTAAAACTATAAACATTTTGTGATTAGCAAAACAAAAAATTCTTTAGTGTTTGTGTAGGTCCTAAATCTGTTTACTAAAATGTTTTTATTATACTTTTACTAAAATAAAAGTTATGGTTTAACGTTTGAAATCAAAGAAATTAGGACAGCCATGTTACTGTTTATCTGTTAAAATAAAATTACAACCCAATTCCAGAAAAGTTGGGACGTTTTGTAAAATGCAATAAAATCAAGAATTTTAATTTAATTGACAAAAGCACAAAGAAAAAAATTCCAAAGTTTTCACTGACTAACTTAAAAAATGTTTTTCTAAATATAAACAAATTTTGACTTTGATGGCTGCAACACACTCCAAAAAAGTTGGGACAGAGGCAAAATAAAAGTCAAAAGGTTATAGAATATCCAAATTAAACTCTTTTGAAACCGTTTACAATAAGCAGGTGAATTGGTAATAGGTGAGGGTGTCATGTTTGGGTATAAATGGAGCATCTCAGTCTTTGCATGCAAAGCTGGATCATGGCTCATCACTTTGTGCCAAATTTCATGAGAAGTGCCAAACAAATCAAAAATTGCATTTCTCAATGCAAAATCCCAAAGAATTTAGGTCTTTCAACCAACTACCATACGTAATATTGTGAAAAGATTCAGGGAATCCAGAGAAATCTCAGTCTGTGTAGGGCAAGGCAGGACACCTCATTTGAATGTGCATGACCTTTGAGCTCTCAGATGGCATGCCCGTCATGCTGCAGTGTTAAATATAGCCACATGGGCTCAGGAGTACTTCAGAAAACCGCTGTCACTTAACACCGTCTGCCGCTGGATCAATAAATGCAACTTGAATCTCTGTTACTCTAGGAGAAAGCTATACATCAGTTCTATGCAGTGATGCCGCGGACTTCTCTGGGCCAGAGCTCATCTCAGATAGTCAAAAAGACACTGGAAATGTGTGCTGTGGTCAGATGAGTCCACGTTTCAACTTGTTTCTGGGAAAAATGGACATAGAGTTCTCAGTCCCAAAGACCAAAGGGACCATCCAGACTTTCATCAGTGACAGATGCAAAAGCAAACATCTGTCATGGTATGGGGGTGTAGCAGACCAAACAGCATGGGTCACTGGCAAATGTGCAAAGGTACCATTGACATGGAAGCATATATTGGAATTGTGCAGACATATATACTGCCATCAAGTTGACGTCTTTCATGGGAAGTCCATGGTTATTAGATCAAGACAATGCCAGGTCTCATTCTGCATGTGCTACAACAGCGTGGTTTTGTAGACACAGAGTGAATGTGCAAGAATGGAGCCTGCAGTCCAGATCTGTCTCCTATTGAAAATGTATGACCAGTCATGAAAAGGAGAATCGGACTATGACGATCACAGACTGCTGAGCATCTGAAGTCTGGTATCAAGTGAGACTAGACAAAAATTTTGCTTGCAAAATTAGTATCCTCAATTCCCAAACAATTAAACATTGTAATTAAAAGGAAAGTTGACGTGACACAGTGTTAAACATGCCTCTGTCCCAACTTTTAGGAGTGTGTTGCAGCCATCAAAATCAATATTTGTTTACATTTACAAAATAAAATTAAGTTTGCCAGTGAAAACATCTGAAATTTTTTCTTTGTACTTCAGTTAATTAAATAAAGGTTAAAGAGAAATGAACAAATATAATTCTTGATTTTATGGCATTTCGTAAAACATGTCATTTATCATACTGATTTTTTAAGTAAATACCATTAAGCTAAAAAAAAAACTATTTTAAACCACCCTAGAATAGAGAACATTATAAAAAAAAAAATCTGGATTTTTTTTTGATGTGGTGTTAAAACATCAGTATTTAATCACTAAATATGAGTAATATAATAAATATTGTCTTTAATTTGTTTAGTTATATTGGAGATTTTACAACTTGCTTTAAAGTCTTGTTGTCTGAAATATAATTTCCTTAAACATGTGGATACTCTGTGTTTGCAAATGTGCTCATGCATGTCTCTTAGTCTCTCTCTCGAATTAATGCATGTATCTGATCTTTCTGTCATGGGTTAATGTGTGACTGACCTCTCTGTGTCTTTCAGGGTAATATGGATCAGGAGCGGCTGAAGAAGCAGCAGGAATTAGCTGCTGCCACTGCTCTTTACCAGCAACTCCAGCAACAGCAGCTGTTCCAGCTCATCAACAGGTGAGTTCGTTTTGCAGTGTCACTGAGTTTGTTTTGTGTATTTAATACTGTGTTACAAACTTCTGAGTTTTTTTTTTTCCATGTAGGTGTGGAGAGCAGGGTATGATGCCTTCGTTAAACAGGTCGATGTCAGTGCCAGATACAGGGTCCATGTGGGACATGCATACCTCAGCCTCACAGCCAGCAGGTACACCCAAAAGAACACTTAAAGAATAACAGTTTTTTCCTCACACTCGCATCTGAAAATAAATTAAGTTTCTCCCTCTTTTCCTTGAGCAGGCGGTGAGGCCAGTCTATGGGACTTAATGAATTCTTCATCTCAGGGTCCAATTCTAGAACAGCTTCAGAAGGTGAGAGTTGCCTCTGATGGCCTCTGCTGGTGACCTGAGGGCATGCACTGGACTCAGACTCCTGTTCTCATTAGCCACGTTTCCACTGTCGGGCCAAAAGCGGGCGTGCTAGCGTGTGCCAGGGCCAGTCGCGTTTCCACTTTCACTTCCGGAGCTTGATCGTGTCTCGTCTGTGTTTCCTTGGGGCCAAAGGCCCAGGTTTTTTGGCTCGACGAAAACCTTGGGCCAAAGCAGGCCAGCTGGTGCTAGAGGAGTGGTTATGAACAAAGGCAGAGTTTCTCAGCGTCTGGAGACGCTGCATTGCAGCGCCGCAAATCATTTCATAAAGTTAACCGATAACACCAGCAATAAAGGCTTTTAAAATAATTTTAGTTCAAAACTCACTTTCAGACAGCAGCAAGTGTTTGAAATAACTTGATCCGATGTGGATTATGATCACCATACAAGGCAGAAATATTTATGTGATGCAAAAGACTATGCACGCTAGCCATTAACGTTAACATAGTAAACATGGTAAATACGACCTCTTGAAGAAATCAGACGTCAGCTTCTTATTCTCTATCACAATCGTGTATTTATTTAGTAACATATTTTATCTGTCATAAGTCTCGGCTGGAGAGTTTAGCTCCTAGGCTATGTTATAAAAATAGAATAATGTTTTTTGTTCAGGAGTATTTTATAAAAATATAGAAATTATCATTCTTTTTAAATGTGATGTAGGCTATATACTATGACTACAAATAAACAGAAACAGACTCTCTTATTCGTTTTCTGATAACTTCTCTTCGTTGGTGAAATGATGGGGTTGCGTCGTGACGTTGTTCCTGAGAGGTGTGTAAAGGGCGTGTTTTAGTGAAGCGCAGCAGAACTTTGGCCCGATGGTGGAAACGCAGCGTGATTTTGGCCTTGGTGCTACAGGTCCGAGGCTATTAGCCTGGCCCGGCCCGTTTAAAGCACTGGCTCACGCTGGCCCGACATTGGAAAAGCGGCTATTACATTGCATTGTATTGTGTTTCAGCTACATGAGAGAAGAGAAGCTGAACTCAGGGCCAAGCGTGAGGAAGAGGAAAGAAAACGGAGGGATGAAAAAAGGCGAGAAGAGCAAAAAAGAAGAGAGGAGGAGGAGATTTACAGGCGCAAACAGGTATTAAAATTCTCTTTTTTTTATGAATTTGACACTAATAATCTGCTGAAAATTCACCTTAGCCAGCATAGGAATAAATCACACACATACACAAATACATGCAGTTGTTTTTTTTCTCTTACACTCCATCTCTTTTCTCATATCTTGTTTCCCCCCCCCCCCAGCAGCAGGATTTGCTGATGAAGTTGCTCCAGCAGACTCCACGTCAGGGTTCCTCAGGCTCCGGGTCGAGCTGGAGCGGAGGACCCATCCCTGGGCTGGGAAAGCAGACCAAGCCCCTCAACCTCCTGGACATCCAGCAGGAGGCTGAAAGAATGCACAAACAACAGCACAGAGTCCAGCAGCAGCAGAGGGTAAGACTGGTGTGCAGTCCTGAAAATCAAATTTAATCAGTGTTGGGGGTAACTCATTACAAATAACGCGAGTTACGTAATCAGATTACTTTTTTCAAGTAACTAGTAACGTAACGCATTACTTTTTAATTTACAAGAGAATATCTGAGTTACTTTTTCAAATAATTGTTACTTTTTTAAAAAGTTACTTTTTTTTCAATTTATTTATTGACAACTCTCCTGTCCCCATGTTGAGAGAAATCAGATGTTACTGTAGTTCTAAAATAAATATGAATATGCATTAATTCATCTCACTCACAAAAAAAACACAGATTCAGTATTCCTCAAAATGAATAAAAATAATGCAACTCAGAATATGCAATAATTAAATGTTAAACAACACAAATATCCTTTATGAATTGAATCCCATTCTATTAACCAATGTCTTTGCTTCTGATCTTCGATGATCCGGTTCAACCGTATTAATAAGCACAAATTACTCTAGGCAAACATTCGTGTGTCTTTTTTTATTGCTGAAGTGTGTTGAAATTTCTTCTTCTGCATTCTATTGTACGGACGTAAATTTACTTTCCCTTCAGCCTGAGGCTTATTCATTTCACTTTTGGTGTGAAAAGGCTTTTATATTTGCCAAAAAAATAACTTTTTTATTTTAAAAACAAACAAGCAAGCCCTGTCCGGATTTAAAAAGTAATGCAAAAGTAACGTAACGCATTATTTTCTATACATAATTAGTTACTTTTTTATGGAGTATCGCAATATTGTAATGCATTACTTTTAAAAGTAACTTTTTCCCCAGCACTGAATTTAATACATTATGAATGTCTTGCCCTGCAGTGGGGTGATGCCTCTTCATTATGGGGAGCAGCTGGATCTTTGGATGGAAAGGTGGGTGGAGGTGGCAGCTCTTCTGGAGGAGGGATGGGAGTCTGGGACGAGGCCCTCAAGAACCAGAGCGCACTTCGCAACAACATGGGGCTGAAGAACAGCCGAAGCAGTCCATCACTGAGGTAAACACGAACCACATGCTAACAGCGTTTCAATGGAATATATCAAAATCTAGAGCAATTTTCATGAATGGATGTAACACATAATTTAATAGTCGCAAATGAGACCTAAACACAAAAGTGCTGTAATGTACAATTTTTTTCACAATATTTACTGAAAGCCAAGAAGATTCTATAATAGGGATATAAATTGTATATCTGTAGATACAAATATTTGATTATGTCTATAATAGATATTTACATTGTATGCATTTTAGGGATGCAACGATTCACTCAACTCACGATTCGATTCACGATTTTTTTTTTACAAAATGAGATTTAAGACAAAGTATAAATTAAATGTGTCCTTTTATTATTGCTTAGAGAAAATACTGTACGTTTCTTTGTGAAATTGAAATATAACACTATAATAATATACTAATATAGCACTTGCATATTATTGCTCTTTTGTTGGTTTTGATTGCTTCTATTGTCCTCATTTGTTAGTCACCTTGGATAAAAGCACTTGCTAAATAACAACATTTAAATTTAATGTAATTGTAAATAACAACACTAAATAGAAAATTTAAAACAAGCCCCAAATCAAATAAATAAGTAACACAAATAAAATAAATCTCTTCATATAAACAAAATAAGGCTTTGTCTGTGCTCTTTACATGTAAAATTAGAGGCAACCACTGCATTTTAATCATGATCCAAACAAAGATGCTGCGTACATGGTACATGAGCAGTTTTTAATCTAAATTAGATTGTATAATTTCTAAATTTGAAGCAAAAACAGAATAGTTTGACTTCAGTTTTGTGAAACTATGCATAAAAAAATATCTGCATGAAACAGAAACCGCAGAGCTGAATGAGACGCAGGTGGCACTTAAAGCGTTTTCTTGGTTTCCGCTGTAAACAAAGCAGCGCTGCACTTATGAACTTTAATATGGAGGGCTCCAGACTGCGACCATTTTTTCTGCCTGTGCGACTGCATTTTGTGTGCGGTCGCTCTGGTGCGACCACCGCGTTGGTCAGCTCATAAGTGCTTCAATTTCTGTTGCATATGAGAAACATCAAAGGGTAAACGAAACAGCACTTAGAGAGTATACCTACTCAGCTACAGCAAAAATGACGCGCATATTGAGGAAACGATG